GAAAAGTAAAAAAATGAATTAAATATTAATAAAAACTATAATAGTATTTCTATGATTCTAAAATAACGCTGATGTATATTTTTTTGTATCATTATAAATACAGTATATTCACATACAGTAGCTTTTATAGCACTGTTTTTTTTTCAAATTCCTTCATTGTTAGTGATTATTTAATATTATTAATATTCGTTTGCATAATATATGTGTTTTCTGTGCATATTTATTATGTATACATAAATACACACACATACAGTATATATTCAGCATTATCACAGTCCTCCACCTGGCCCACAGATATCCAGCAAAATCACACTCTTGAGCCTGACGGCTGAACGAGGAGCCACCCTGACGCTCACCGCACAGCTAATAACGGTTCGGAGCAAACTGGGCTAATACCTGCAGGGTATAAATAGCGTGTTGTTGATCTGACAGCTGAGCAATGCCTGTGAACAGAGTTAACCGTAAAGGGGATTTGTGATGGAGAGAGGATACAGTGACTCTGATGCTTTCAAAGCCTCCTTATGCTAAGTTTGGCCTTAGTCACACAAATAAACACATGCACCTTTAGCCATTACGCCACTGACATAGGAAGAACAATTATTATTAATATCACAGCACTTTTATTTTAGATGCAATTAATTGCGATTAATTGTTTGACAGCACTATTATTTATATTATGTATTATATCTATTAATATTACAACAAACAGTATGTGGTAACATTTAAATATATATATGGATTATATACTCTGTTATTATAGTTAACTAAAATGAAAACCATTACAAAACATTTTTGTTACTTGAAATTAAATAAAATATAAAAAAAACTTTTCAGCCAAAGAAACATTTTCATTTTAATTTAGTTTAACTTGATGTACTAAAATAACTAAAGTACTTAAAAATGAAATAAAAATAATAATATTACAAGAGTACTATAGTTTTGAAAATTATTCTATAAATATTAGGGCATACAGTATGTTGTACTGCATATATACACGTGTGTGTGTGTGTGTGTGTGTGTGTGTGCAATTCTGTCCTAAAGTACTTAAAAATGAAATAAAAATGCATAGACAGACAGTGATTCATAACAACGGCTTTTGTTGTTTTTTTTTCAATTAAACACAAAAGGAGAAATTTTGAAGAATGTTCAGCCTGCTCTTCCAGTACAATGACAAGCTCCAAAAAAGGACACAAACAAAGGAAACACGAGTACGGAGAACCTTAAACTCAGCCTCTTTAACACACAGAGTTACTGCATGACTTTTGTTTACAATAAAAAATGATTGTTTACATTCTAACAGTCATGGACATTAGCTGATTATTCACTCTCCTTTTGTTTTCCAAGGAACAAAATAAAAGTATACAGAATTGTAATGAGGGTGTGGAAATCGAGATAAATCATCATGCTTCAGAGAGCACCCTGGTTATTTCCACAGAACTAAAAACATGGTGCGCTGTGAAGGCATGAAAATAAAGGCCATACAGTATGTGGTTAGCGTGTTTGGTGGGAGTCGAGTCATTCTTTAAATGTTTGTTCAGCACAACTCTGACAAAACGGCATCCGTGGAACCAGAGCTTTGTTGTTGGAAGTGAAGAAAGGTTTTCTTGCTTTGTTATACAGCCAGCAGTGCATTGATAAGAGAGAATAGTGTGTAACTGAAGCAGTTAAACAAGCCCCGGCGCTCAGGATTGGCTCACCTCAAACTCCAGGCCGAAAGTTCTCAGGTAAACATCAGGGAGCAAACGGTCGGAGAACCGGTCCTTGCTGTACACCTGTTAGCTGTGTGAACTAGTCGTGCTCGCCCTCCGCGGCCTGAAACCCAAGCAGCGGTCTAAAGTTACACAACACAAACGAGGGTGTGAGAGAGAGGCAGAACACAGCCACTCTACAGCACTGCAAACAATAGCTGCCTTATCAGAATATGTGTGCGTTTCTTCCCAAAGCATTCGTGAAAGTGAAAAGAATCACTCAATGGGTTCAAGGTCAGAACAAACAAAGACTAAATCTGTTTAGTGTTAAACTAAAACTAAAACTGTTTGGCTTTGTCTTTTTCTGCTTGTTCTGTTTTGTTGTTCCCAAAACACAAATGTAATGCACGTGCATTATGAAGAATATTGTCATGACATATAAGAAACCTTTTTCTGCATTGGAACAATTTCATATATTTACATACAGATATGTATGTTTATGTGAAAAACATTTTTGGACATGTATGGCATGTTGATTATGTAATTAACTACAAAAGGCATGTATTTAAAAAATGTTTTACAAACAAATACAGATTTTTTTAATATATGTTGTTTTAATAAAGATGCATAGATAAATAGCATGTATGGTAAACATAGTTGCTACATATAATACCATATAAAAAATAATATAGATATTATTAACAGAAGTACATACACAAATCTTACTATGGGGATGTCATATTTGTTCTAAACGCATATCTTTATCTACCCAGAGCATGTGTGTTGCGACACATCAGAAGGGTTTGGATCCATTTGCAGTTTATTAAGAATGGTCAGACGATACAGGGTCAAATACCGGCAAGGCAGAACAGCAGAGACAAGGCAGAGGCAGAATCGTGAACCAGGCGAGAGATCGGGGCAGGCAGATAACAATCAGAGAATCAGGAGACAGTCCAAGATCAAAGCACAGAAAACAAACACGGGTATAACGCTCGGAAATGACAGCCGGGGCAAATCAAGACTTCGCAATGAGTTTGTGAAATGGTGTGGCTTATATGTGTGTGTGTAAATGAGATGCAGGTGTGATTGTGTAATCAGTCCCAGGTAAGAGGGATGATGGGAAATGGAGTCCGAATGGGAGATTGCTAATACTCTGGGGACAGTTCCCTCTGGTGGTGCGGAGGAGGCGGTACGGGAGCCTCCTCTGTAACAATGTGCATATCTGTGAAATGTATATATCGCCTTATAGGTAACATATATGGCAATATCACTCTTGATATAGAGCAATATATGTCATATATTAAACTTCTGTATGGGTCTGTTTGTCTCTTTGAACATAGTGTTGGTGAGTTAAAGAAGAAGAATAAATATATTTAATAGCATGAGAATCACTGGATTGTGAGGCAGATCTTTTCCTTTGTCTGTGTCATGTTTTGACAAGGCTGACGGTTTTGACTGAATTATGTTTGGAAATAAAGGCCTCAGTGTGGATTGAAGGAAGTGCTGGATACAAAGAACAACAAAATCAATTCATGACACAAAGATACAGCTTCTGCTATGGCAAAGGCTTAGCTCATGAATATTCATTTGGTCTTGCTGATGTTGCCTGTTAATCTGCCTGAACATGATATTCATATTACTGATACTGATATTCATATGAATTCAAGCCTTCACAATAGTATGACCCATAATTATGACCAACACTCACCAGCATCTGCCTGCTTTTCAGTCAGTCCTGCTGGGTAAACGTCAAATTATGTCATTAATATTCATGAGCCAAGCCTTCACCATAGAGTGAATCTTGAATCATTTTTTTTTTTTACAAGTGCCAGGTCATTCGTCACCACGAAATCAAAAGAAAATGGCATTTTGCTTAAAGAAAATTATTATTTTTAGGATCCTAGTTTGAATATGCAGAAGTCCCCAAAAAAACATTGTCTTTCTCTTTATTTATTCCTTCCCTTTCTAGCTTGTACTTATTTGAACAATGCCTAAAACTTGGTATTACGAGCACTTTCTGTGTCTGTTTGCCTCTTTGAGAAGAATTGCTTTATGTGTTCCTCAAAAAAAAGCCTCCCAAAAAGTAAAATACTTGGGGGAAAAGTCTGCACAATTCACCAAAAATCACATGCGAGGTGAAGGTTTACTGAAAAGAAGAAAAAAAAAAGTTTACTGAAAAAAAAAACTTTTATCTCACATGTGATTTTTGGTGGAGTGTGCGGATTTTTTCTAGTATTTTTAATAAAGGGGAAGAAAATGCTTCCCATATCTTTTGTGTTTGAGGTCAAAAGCTGTGTGTCCTATCAAACTCAACCTTATTTTGGCACACAGCCAAACATGAACACGTTGCATATGCAAGTACAACTATAAGAAAAGCCAAAGAAAATACAAGCCAGACTAAATATGCGAGCAGTTGCGTTCTGGAAAAGTGTGTTTTGTGCTGTGCATGCAAAACAAATCCATCTCAAGTCAACAGGTATTTGGAAATCAAGCATGCAATAATGTTCTGCATCATCAGTCCTCAGAACTACAGTATTTGATGTATTTGGTTTGGGTTTGATGTTCAATGTAAAACCTGCAGCAGCAGCTTGTTATCTATAGGCAGCATGCAAACATCTATGAGTCTGAAGGTCATTTATCACAGCGCACCGGCAGTCTTACTCTCCTGTCCTTATTTGCTCTCTTTCTTTTCTTTGTAGCAGTCAAGAAGGTCAAGAAAGCAAAGAGCGAGCCAAAGAAAGTGGCAGGCTAGAAGAAGAAGCAGAAGCCTGATGGCCGAGCTTCCCCTCGTGAACACAGAGGTCTCGAAGGAGCTGGGCTGTGAGTCCACACTTGCTCCTAGAACAACATGCAGCAGAGCTCACTTACCTTTTAAAGCGGCGGTGTGATCCGGCTCCTGTAGGCTCGTCTCATCTTCCGGGCGGAGGAATCATTGTGTGAAGCTGAGCTGAGCTGAGGGACGATGTTTGCTTGGCAAACGATGCGTGGATCGTCCTAGTACCGCAGCTGCTCTTGCATTCAAATGTCCCAGCTGGCTACATGCTATGAATAAAACATTTGTTGGGCGCTTTGGCATTTCTTCTGTGCGGCGGACTTCAGAAATGCTTCTTCACATTTGTCAATGCTTGCTTCTCAATGGCGCTCACATTCTTAGATTTACAGTCTGACTAGTGAACATGCTAATGTTTTCACTACAAATGATAATGTCAGCATCGGAGTTCAGATGAACAGCTGAATAGCAGCATAATTGTGAGTGAACTGAACCCGATGACATGACTTGATTTTGAGCTTCAGTTTCTAGTCTCTACAGACTCACGTGATCAGTTTCACTAATTCACTGACAATGAAACCTTTTCACAGACTGTGACACCTTTCCACAGTTATTAAATCTAGCAGTGTTTTTTATTATAAATTTTTTTCCCCATTTTTTGAAAATGTACTGTGCATTCATGACAGCATACTTTTTATATTGCATTGGCGTTAAACGATAGAAAACTAGTCAGCGTTTCTAATGCAACGGCTGAGGAAGTCACAGCACATTTGACGTATTTTTCTCCTCTGACAAATGTTTTCCCTCGTTTGGAAAGTCATAGAAACACTATCACGCATTTTGTCTTTCGCTATTGCAGCAAAATGTCAAGTTCTTACATATAATCAATAAATGTAGTTATATTAAGACACTATAAGCTGTTACCAATGGGATGAAATCAGTATAAACAAAAGCTTTGCGCTGCAGAAAGGGGCACACAAGCTGCATCTGAAGTGGCATTTAGATGTGTTTATACTGCAATTACAACTGCATAAAGAATGCTATGTGATTAATGTTTTAAAAATAGTCTTTTGGATATTGAAATATGGAGATGATGAGCCCCTCAGAATGGAATGCAGTGACTGTCTTTAAGAATGGATCACTGAATAATTGATTCGTTTAAAAACACTGATTCATTCAGTAGTGAATCACCGCTGTGTGACACCCAACGGTTCTGCTGTGGCTTTGTGTGGAACTGTTTTCATTGGTGAAATAGAGCAAAAACAGACAATATTGTTTTTCCTCCATTTATTGAATATCTGTGTCATGGACTCGCAAGGTGTGTTTTCATTTGTGAGTGACATATTCAGTTTATTATGTCAGCTTTAACATTGTTAAAACAACAGTTAAGACATCCTTTCTTTTCATCCTGTCTTTTATCCTTTACTAAATGTAGAATGTAAAGAAGTAACACTCAAGGTACATAAGGAATGACTAGAGAAGACGTGCTTTCAGTCAGTTCACTTTCACTGGAACTCATGCCAACATGCATTAGAGAAACTAACTCTGTTCTTTCATTGTTAAACTGAAGCTGTGCTATGTGAGCACTAGAACATGATTCGTTTGGTGTCTTATTATTATTATTTTAATACAATAGTGATTATTCTATGATAATTTTTATGTGTTTATTTTTTTACATTTACTTTGCCTTTTGCGTTGCAGATGTCTAACTCTAGTTTGTGTTAATTAACGTGCACAGTCCCTGTCAAATAAAAAAGACCCCTAGTGTCTCAGCGAGTAGGTTGTGACAGCATCATGGACAGCAGAGAAGATCAAATCCAAAAGTGCCACTTGTCTTCTTTAAGAACAAAAGAGATGGGAAGTTTTCTCCTCCTTTTGAAAAGTGGATTGTTTCAGTACTGGAGTGCTTTGTGAGCCGTGAGTTGGGAAGCCCATCTCTAGAGTGTTTTTTTGTGTGTGTGTGTCTGTTTCAGATCAAGCAGGCGGTGGAGGATGTGCAGAAGCTGCTGCTGGAGAAGGATTGTCATCTGTCCCGAGCGCTGATACCTGTGGACACGCTACACATCACTCTACTGGTGACTCACCTGAGCACACAGGAGCAGCTGGATCTGTAAGATCACACACACACACACACACACACAGTGAACGCAGCACAGAGATCTTGAAAAATCAGTGACCGCTGCAGAGATCTTGACACATGTATTTCGCTTTCATGTGAATCACCCTAAGGTGGTGTTATACATGTTGTGTGTGCAGCAGGGTTGGAAGTTGCCCCCAAATTCAAGATAAGGTGGCAAAATGCCCCTGCCCAATGCCCAATTAAGTTAGATCTATTACAGCCGTCACAATTAAAGGGAAATGCAGAGCTGCCGACCTGTACGCATTTTGCGTAGCGGCTGGTACACTGGTACGATTTGTCACTCTAAACTACTCAAAAACCTAGTGACGCCTCTGTCCACGCGCAGTATTCAAAACAAGCAACAGAAAAAGATGAAGAGTTCAACCAATCAGAGCGTGTTTTATTTCTCTCCAAGCTGGCTCTGTTTGTGTGTGTCTGTGAGTCTGCATGCTGAGGTGAGAAAATGCCTCCCCGCTTAACGAGCATCTGTAATGACTTGAAATGAGAAGTGTTTCTAAACCTGTTATCCCAAAAAAAAGAGAACATTATAACATACCCCACAACATCAAACGAATGTTAGAAATAACTTCCGTCCTGATCTGATGTGGCTTCTTATCACATCCATTGTCGATTAGCAATGGATAAATATACATAATTATTAAAATACACAAGGTGGTTTTAACAACACATAAACATTGTCGCAGTATAGTGTTCAGTGTCTTAATGTTCTCTTTGAATGTCATCATTCAAAGTGTTCCTGTCTTCTTTTATTCAATTACGGAGATAGCTGGATACTTTTGTCCATATTATGGATTTCCTGGAGCATGAGTTCTATTTCTTATCTTAGCAAAAAATAACAAAACCGTAAACTGTGGTTTAAAAAAAACCAGAGGAATTTATTTAACCGTGAGCTAACTGTATTGTTGCATCCCTACTGTTTACTGTAAAACAGTAAACAGTAAAAAACAGTAAACAGTAAAAAACAGTAAAACAGTAAACAGTAAAACAGTAAAACAGTAAAAAACAGTAAACAGTAAACTAGTAAACAGTAAAACAGTAAACAGTAAAACAGTAAAAAACAGTAAACAGTAAACCAGTAAACAGTAAAACAGTAAACAGTAAAAAACAGTAAACAGTAAACAGTAAAACAGTAAACAGTAAAACAGTAAACAGTAAAACAGTAAAACAGTAAACCAGTAAACAGTAAAACAGTAAAGAGTAAAAAACAGTAAACAGTAAAACAGTAAACAGTAAAACAGTAAAACAGTAAAACAGTAAACAGTAAAAAACAGTAAACAGTAAAACAGTAAACAGTAAAACAGTAAACAGTAAAACAGTAAACCAGTAAACAGTAAAACAGTAAACAGTAAAAAACAGTAAACAGTAAAAAAAACAGTAAACAGTAAAACAGTAAAAAAACAGTAAACAATAAAAAAAACAGTAAACAGTAAAACAGTAAAAAAACAGTAAACAGTAAAAAACCAGTAAACAGTAAAGAACAGTAAAACAGTAAAAACCGTAAACAGTAAAAAACAGTATAACTGTAAACAGTAAAAAAATGTAAACAGTAATAAACAGTAAAACTGTAAAACAGTAAAAAAATGTAAACAGTAAAACAGTAAACAGTAAAAAACAGTAAAAGTCATGCTGATGGTACTCAAAAATAATTTCCAAGGTTGTCAGGTCTGGAAATGAACAAACGTGTTGATTGCGACATTACAGTTACAGCAGATCTGCTCACGTTGAATCAGATTCCTTGCTACATGTGGTTTGCAGTGTTGCACATTATAATTGATCACACACGTTAATTTAATCCCAGTTTAAATAACTGTTTTGTTTGTCATGCCACTGAAATAAGCAATGTGAAGCCTTGATTTTCTAATCTGTAAAAAGCAATATACAAATTCAGAAATGGTTCTTCGCTTGTTTTGTCTGTAGGCAGAATTTCATGTGCTTTTCCACACAAAACTTACTTTTAATCGACATTAATAATCATTATTACAATATCAAGAGCAATAATTGACAATCATGATATTGCAGCTTCACACTCTAATTAGTTGCTGTTTTTAATTGATAGGCTATTTCCATTATGCAGTTTTTGTCTTCTGCTCTGTCTTTGCAGAAACAGTGGCTTAGCATTGTGATTGATTTAAGTTTTTGACATAAATAAACAACAGAAACATTTAATAGTGTAATTATAAAAATTGCCCTAACAAGGTTAAAAAAATTATATATATTATAAATATTGCTTAATTTCAGCTTGAGTCACTTCAATGTTGATTCAGTTAAGTCCAGTAAGAAAGTTTATAATAGTAGTATTATTATAATAGTAATATTTTTACTCTGTTTTGTGTGGTCAGTCTTTGTTCTCGAATTACATTAAATTCAGATCTTGAACAAAACACACAGTTAAAACACATCAGCTGCTCCGTAAAGCAACAAATCATCCAAATCTAAGCTGCTTTATCGTCTTTAAAGGCCAAGAACACACATTGATCTGTCAGAGCTGCGTGCTCATTCATCTCACACCTCAGCAGTAATTATGACATGCCTTCGCTCTCATTATCTGTAATGAAATGGAAGAGCAAAACTGACAGCAGAAGCGTGCAGGACTAGACTGTCAGGATGTTTGTCGTGTTTGTGTGCGCAGCGCTGCGTCTACATGATCAGAGCTGGAGTCTCCTCTGAACGCGCTGCTGGGGGTCCTGCCCTTCTGTGGAATCGGACACTTTAAACAGGAAGTGGCTTTCGTTCAGATCGTGGACGGAGGGCATCTGACCACACTCACGCTCATGGCAGGTACACCACTCTGCATCCGCTCTGTGTTCATGCTTCAGATGTGCCAGTCTGCCACTGGTCAGTCAGACTGATAGTCCCACCCCAATCTCACAACATTGCTCGAGGAAAAAAATCACAGGTGTAGTTTACCATTTATAGCTAATTATTTATGCAATATTGTGGCTGATGATGCAGGTATGCTACAAATATACAAATGCATGTAATACAGTTCAAATGGATAGTTCATTCAAAAATGATCATTCTGTCATGCTTTACTCACCTTCATGTCATTCCACAACTTTAGTGGAGCACAAAAAGTGTTTTTGTCCTAACAGTGAAAGCCAGTAGAGTTTAAAACTGTTTGATTGCCAGCTTTCTTCAAAACATCTTCTTTTGTGAAGAATGAAAATTCAAGATTGATTTAATATTTGTTTATGATTACAGTAATATTGCATTACACATATGGGGGTATTTGTGTAGACACCCAAGGCATCATGGTCAAACCCTGTGAATAATTTTAAATGCATCTTCATAATGATTCATCATGACTTTATACCGCAGCTGCATATGAAGTCATTCATGTGTGAAATGATCAGCCTCCTCCTGTACACTGGTATGTTTGTCACATCTGTAACTGCTGCAGCAGCTCACTCACTCTGTTCTGGAAGTGGATCTGCACATGCATTGCTTTTATCCACAACACTGTGTGTAGCCTAGCATGTAAAAAGGCAGGTGAAAGTTATAAAGGATTCACTACTAAATATTTTTGCATTGCACCATTAAACCTAGTTGAAATGTAACTTTATATATATATATATACTGTATATATACATAAATTAAATATTTGCGGAAGCATCTGACCGGGGGTAATGGTTAGAATAAAATAGCAGGTTGATTGAATTGCATCAGTAAGCTCTTGTCCTTTAGACATCCTTTAGACATATGATGATGTTGTTGTTTACACTCATTTATATTTTAAGGGCGAGAACATTACAGTGTGCACCGCTCCATGTTGTGCATGTCAAATGTTTTTGTATCAATATTTATATTGCTCCTTTTTCATTTCAAAGACCGTTTCTGCATGTCAGTATTGTATTTCAATGGACATTTACTGTTAGTTTACGGTTAGTTACATTTACTTATGCGAGACTAAAGAAGTTGGTATTAAACTTTGCAGGAAAACTATTCCCAGCATATAATGTGACTGTGCATTACTTCACAGAGAGCGTGTGACCTGCTAGAGATGCTCTGCCTTAAGAACTGATGGTGCAACTACATTAAGTGCAAACTAACTAGTAGTTTCCAAGCCTCTAGTGTGGACTTTACACTCCAATTTAAGCACGTTAACTTCTGAATGGCTGGTGCAACCCTACCCTGCTGTGATCAGGGAAAGTTACTTTTTTTTATATAACAAAAAACACAAAAGTTATATTTTTGGCAACTGTATAGGCCCTTTCACAAGAAAATTGCCTCAGGCTGAAGGAAATGCCTCTGACACTTGCATTACTTATTTGAAAAAGTAACTCCGATATCTCATTGAAATTTTAAAAGTAATGCCTTACTTTACTAGTTATTTGAAAAGGTAATCTGATTATGTAACACGTGTTATTTGTAATGTGTTACCCCCAACACTGGCTGTGAATGTGTTTGATTGTTACAGCTGTCTGCAGCTTTCATAACATAATCATCATTTACCAAAATAAATCAAATAATTCAAACTGAATTCAGATTTCCAGTATTCCAGTGCTTCCAGTATTGGCTTAATCAGATTGACATGACAGTAAGAGGAACTAATACTGGCTGATAATTACATGAGCACAGTATTTTGGATGCTCACTGAAAACCCCAGAGAAACGTGTTGAAGGTTAAGATGCAGAGAGATCCTGAGAGCTCGGGCTGCAAACTCTCTCTCTCTCTCTCTGTATTGATTATGGTCTTGTCTTACATTGAGGACAGTGGAGTAGTCTCGGGCCTGTCCGCGGAGGCTGTAAATAGACTATCCCAGGATGCATCTGTCTCTCTGAGGCTGAGTGTTGTTTCTCTCCACCCAGAGAGCGTGAGGAAGGCGTTTGAGGAGCAAGGCATCGCGTCTGGAGATGACAAAGCATTCAAACCTCATCTGACGTTTCTCAAACTCTCACGAGCACCTAAACTACGCAAGCAGGTGAGGAGGACTCGTGTGTGTGTGTGTGTGTGTGTGTGCTGAAGAAGGAGGATGTGTTTGATTTATCTAATCATAAGCAAATACTACAGAGTCTGTCAGTTGCATTATGGAAATTAAGCTTGACATCTTACTCTTTCCTTTTCACATAAACAGAGTTCAGATTCTTTACTGTTTCTTCTGAATGAGACCGAAGCATTAAAGCTGCACACATTTGTACCACAACACAACAACAATGATCAGTAGATAATTATTTATTTGTGATAATCTATCTAATACTATTCTTTCTTCAAATAATATGGTCTATCTGTTGATAAATAGACTGAATGAGTTCATTAATTTATTTGTGCAGTCACAGGGTGTGTGCATAATTCCGTGTGTGCATAAAAATCAGCTTTGATAAGTGAGAATGTGCGTGACATCTATTGATTAAATACACTATCATTCCGAATTTTTGGTGTCAGCAGGATTTTAATTGGTAATGAAATAAATTAATACTTTTGTTCATCAAGGATGCATTCAATTGATCAAAAGTGACAGTAAATGCATTTACAAAATATTTCTGTTACAAATAAATGCTATTCTTTTGAACGGTCTATTCATCCAACAATCCTGAAAAAAAAAATCACAGTTTCTAACAAAAATGTTGGGCAGCACAACTGTTTTCAATATTGATAATAATAAAAATGTTTCTTGAGCATCAAATCAGCATATTAGAATGATTTCTGAAGATCATGTGACACTGAAGACTGGAGTAATGATGCTGAAAATACAGCTGCGCATCACAGAAATAAATTACACTTTAACAGAGATTCACAGAGAAAATGTATTAATTTTTAAATCAAATTTTCAATCAAATACATAGTGTTGTTGAGCAGAAGTGGTTGTGATGTTGTTGCATGAGTCAGGTGTTGAGGTTGATGCTATCTGTTCAGACAGTGAAGGCTGAGACCTGACGCCAGATCTTCTCATCAGTCCACCACAATCAAATCAAACACGCATTACACAGCGTTAATCTTCCCACAATCCACCGGACACTTTAAAGAGCGCTCCACAACCTCATCTGCTTCCACATCCGCTTTCTATCAAACAGGAGACGTTTAACCAAATGTTCACGCTGCTCTTCTCCATATAATGAAAGAGACGGGCTGAAAATAGGGAATGAAACTCTCTGTTTGTTTATGAAGAAAGGAGCTGGAATGACATTAGCTGAGCTCTTCCTTTAACTGTGTGTGTGTGTGTGTGTGTGTGGATGCTTCTTCTTCATGTGGAGGACACAGATAGGAGGCGCGTCTATAATCTTCCCGCAGGACACGCTTCCTGCTGAGGTTATCTCACGTCCATTCCTCTGTGACTTTCTTTCAATGAGGAGACGTTTAGCCAAATGTTCACGCTGCTCTTCTCCATATAATGAAAGAGCCTGGGACTAAAAAAGAGGGAATGAAACGGATAGGAGGCGTGTCTATAATCTTCCCGCAAGACATGCTTCCTGCCGAGGTTATCGGCCTCGACAGACGCTTCCACCCCTACTGTACTCTCTCTTCCCTCGCCCATCCTTCTGTTTGCTCTAGACTTACTGTGTGACGCGTGTGTGTGTGTCTTCGCAGGGCGTTAAGAAGCTGGATCCGGCACTGTTCTCTGAGTTCGAGTCCGTGTGTTTGGAGACGAATGCGTGTGTAGAGTGGACCTGTGCTCCATGCTGAAGAAAAAGAGCTCAGATGGATACTACCACCGAGAGAAGAGCGTCAGCTTCAGTGAGTAAACCATCAGCATGCTTTCACAGATAGTTTGCACTGAAGAAGATGTCACTGTGCATCAGTAATGTGTGACCCAGTGCTTCTGGACTGACGGGTCACGGACGTAACTGAGTGAACAGCCTTTGAACGAGGAGAAAAACACTTCTCATATACAGTATTCACCTGTGCTTGTTTAGATCACGTCTGCTCTTCTCCACACATCAGTTCTCATGTTTGCTCTGGATCCTGAAGTAAAGTCAGTTCAGAAGCACTGCTCTAGAGCACATCTAGGTTTCTGCTTTGTAATTTGGGCTCAGGTTTCAGGTCATTTGCAAACTCTTTCATTTCAGCCTGTTACTGTGGTACAGTAATGCTATCAGATAGTAATGCCATAGTACTGTGAAATATACCACAGTACTGAATGAGTATTTGAGAACAGCATCTCCAAGACGCTTCAAGAAACCCACACGAAATGTTGATTTCATTTAGTTAATAGAAGTTCACTGGTAAAGAAAATCTATTTATGACATTATTTTTGACAGCATCCTCATTTTACAGCATTTTTACACAAGTGCCTAAAACGTTTAACAGCACTGTAGCTTTGCAGGAAGGTTTCTTGAAGCGTCTCGGAGACGTTGTTCTTCTGGATTGAGTCTGTCTCAGTTTGTTCTGTTTCTTCATGTCATGATTCCAGACAGACTGATGATGATCAGATCAGATCTCTGTGTGGAGCACAAAAATCTCACTGCATTATTACAATTAATGGCAGAATAAATGTTTGGTAATGTAAGCTGATATTTCCCACTGACACTCTACAACAAAAAATAGAAATAACTGACTTAAAACCATTTTTTAGCTGCTGAAAATACTAGTGGCCTAAAACTTTTGCACAGTACTGTATATAACACTTTATTCCTAAAACTTTATGGAGTGCCTGATGTGAGGAGTGATAAAAATACAGTAGATATCTAAAATCCATCTTCAACTCTAATATGTCAAAAAATCAAGCATGAATTTTGAATCTGACTTTATGCGATGTTCATGCAAATTGGTGCATAGCATAGACTGTAAAAATAAATAGAAAAGTGAAGCCAAAACAAGAAGCCGTCTGTCTTCTCGATGACATCATCTGGAGTCTGCGTAGTGATTGGTGGAGTCGTGTTATTATTAGAAAATTAGTGAACTTATTAGAAAAGTGAACACTTGAACGAGCATTAGCGTGATGTAACTACCTGAAATGACGGAATCCATCTTTGGGAAAAAAACATGTAATTTAATTTTTAGTTTGGCTCACGTAACATTTGTTTACATGGAGAGGGCGATCAAAATGTTTTGGCTTCACTTTTCAGGACATGTGACACTTGGTGCATAGTTTAAGCTGGATTAAGCAGTTTCTGCTCTACTAGTGTCATCTAATGGAATTACAAATAGTAAACCTAAGCAAATGGCCCTTTCGCTCCATACTCTTTCCTCTCTTTGTGCTCTCTGTGTACGGTAACACTTTACTTAAAGCCTTAATGTATAATGCATTGAAAAAGGGTTATCAAAGGCTGTAATGCATTATAATTATTCTTAATGTGCATTGTAATATGTGATATCTTGTCATAATCATAACCAAATTTAAATGTATAGTGTAATGATGAATTGATAAGTGTTATGTAATGTATTAACTGTGGCTACAATTATTCATGAGATTGTACAATGCATTATAAGGTGCATTACAAGGCATAATTAATGCATTAAAACTACTTTTATAATGCATTCTACATAAAGGCTTTAAGTAAAATGTTAATGTGTATGTACAGTATGTGCGTCTTCCCTTTGCTTGATCTTCTGCTGCTGTTTGATGTCTAGTAGTTGTTTCTTCATGATGCCATTAATGAGCCTTTTACTTGTTTTAAGTTTAAGTAACTACATTAGTTAACATAAACTAACAAATAACAGTAATTCTACCGCATTTACTAGTCATAATGTTAATCTCAACATTTACTAATACGTAAAAAACATGAAACATTGTATTTGTTAACATTAGTTAATGCATTGTAAACTAACATGAACAAACACTGAAAAGGTTTTCACAAATGAAGGCTTTAAAAGTGTTTATAAAGTGTTATATTCATAAAGTCATGACATTAGATATGCATTGCAATCTTCCTCAGTATTTTTGTTTTGTTTTCCAATGCAAATATCTAAACACCCTTAAATCAAAATACATTTGCATCATGCAAAATGATGCAAAAGATAAAAAGTCCTGTGTACTGAAATATTCTGCAATTCGAGATCACAATAGGGCGCATTTTTGATTTGTAATTTAATGCACAAGTAGGCTAAATGTGAGCACAGTGCAGTTGGGTGGTTGACATATAAGCCTGAAAAAAACATTTTTTTTAAACTTCAAATATTAGGCATAAAAAATATTGAGCTGTGTTGTACTGACTCTTGAATTTCCCAAAAAATATGTGGTCTTTTAGATTTTGTATTGGAAATTGGATTTATTTACCAATTTGTTGCATTTGTGCCTAAAATTGTCATATGGTGTGACATAAAAGTTATTCTATATAAAATGAAATTGGGATATACTCTCCCTAAGTAACTAACTTCACCATAAATCTTTATCATTACTATCTTAAGATTTAACATTATTTTGTGCAGATCCATTAGATTTTGTATTATTTTTCTAAATCATCATGCAGAGTAAGACATCTCTCCTCAGCCTTTCCAGACATTTTAGAATAATTCTGACAAACCCTGTTATAAATCTAACAAAATGCTTGTGAATCTTGCTGATACTATTTATTTTTTGTTCCATTGACTTTTTTATGGTTTATAACAAAAAAAAGTATTTTTATTGCCACAATTCTGATTGTCACACCAAATGATATAGTGTTACACTATATGATGAAATGCACCACACCACAATTTGTCAATGCAAAACAAGTGTATTTTATATGCATTAAACATTCAATGAATTCAATTAACATTAATAAAAATAAAAATCATCAAACATACCAACATTGTTTTAATACTTTTAAAAATGTATTTATGAAACTCAGAAATATGAGTAAATACCATCTCACGCCAAGAACCGTCAACATGAACATTTTAAGATTATTGATATTTTATAGTATTAGTAATAACGGATAATAACAGATTCAAATGAAGGAAGAAGGGTGTGCACACTGAATGCCTTGAGTTGTACTCTTCGTTTCTTCTCTTTATACCTGTTAATGAAAAATATATAATGATTAAGATTTTTTTAACCGTTCATTTCAGCCTCACAATCTTGATAATAGTATCCTGTGTTGAAGTTACACTATGCAGGTTGTGGCCTAGACTTTCATCCTTCCCTATAGAAGGTGTCTGTTCTGTGTGAACTGGCATGATCTCCTTACTTTTTCCTCCTTTCCCTCAGGACCTCCTCTCTCCTTGCATGGTCAGCATTGAGTCTTTCCCTGTATTTTCGTGTCCTCTCTTTACTTGACATTTCTGCCTGACACAGACAAAAAATTGCATCTTTTAATATGTAAAGCATGGCAAACATGGTTAAATTAAGTATAAAATTGAAAAGGAATATATTAATTGTATGGGCAATTTAATGTACACCATTAAATTCTTTCAATATGTTTTTAATATTTATTTATTTATCATTAAAAAAGTTGTATGTAATATTGTGTGACAAAAGTATCATATGGTGTGACTTGGAAAAACAGTCACACCATATGATACAGTGTCACACCATATGACGTTTTGTTCAGTTTAGCTAATCTCTTTGTTAACTAAAAACAGCTAGCTTATACTTAGCATGTAAAATGCCACATGGCAGCAATGATTTTTAAGAATTTATAAGTAAAATTTGTAAAAAAGTATTTAATTTTTATGTAAATAATGTCACACCATAAGACACAAAACATTGACCACTAATGAGCACATCAGTGACAGAGCTTTTTAATAAAAAATGAAAAAGTCAGAACTCGCCTCTTCACCTTCCAAACCACTCCAGAGAGGACACTGCAGCTTCCTGGTTGAGTGTGGACCTCTTCATCATAATGATGTCCAAATTATTGCCCGTTCAAAATACAGATTGTAATGTCACACCACATGACGCCCATTTTACAGACAAAATGTATTTAGCCAGAACTTGCTTTAAAATCATGCACAGACATCAACACTTTCTGTGTCCATTAAAAATGCCTAATTCTGTTACTTAAACTGTAAATCTATCAATTATTTATACTTTGCTGAGATATATTGTCATATTAGTAAGGTCACACATAGTCCGGACAGTCACACCATATGACAATTTTGATGTTTAGATAAAAATTTGAAGTAGAGGTCTTTATACAGCAGTAAAGCTATGGTATGCTGTAATAATATCTTGTCAGAGGAACAACATAAAGATATACATTTTTAACAAATACCCATTTTTATTAGTATATGACATCATGGACAGGTAGAACTGCATGTCATGTCATCCACCCAGTTGTACTAGAAAATATGCGCACATTTTTCGTTAATTTGTAAAGTATGAAAATGAAACGATATTTAAATGCACAAAATAACTCATTTTACATTCTGGCATTTATGTGCTGTTGACTTCCGGCCTTTTTCACATTATTGCAGATGTGGATTCAAAGGAGAACTTTTTGTTAGTTTCCTTTGTACGGAGCTTGATTTAGGTTTGACAAAACTGTTGCAATGAATTCATTTTGACAATTAATAAAGTGTTAAACATTGACTGTTTTTTTTTTCCAGAGTTCACTGATTATATAAAATTCAGTGAAGGTTGAGTAAACTATGTAGTTATCTGCATGTCTCATCCATGAGTAAACCTGTGCAATGATGGAGAACAAGCTTTTGGGGGTGTTGAGACCCAGAACCAAGCTAATTACAAATTACAATTATGAACAAATTAATATTCAGTTGTGTTTTAGGCACTAAAACAGTCCAGTATAGTCAAATACATTTCTATATTGAAATAATGCAGATTTATGTGCCACTGTGCAAATATCAGTTCATTT